TGAGTATATTCCAGTACAACGCTACCTTTGCTTACAAATAAATAGCTATTGCTGTTAAGTTGCTTTCTGGTTCTCGTGCTCAATATTCGATATATCTCCGCCTTCAACAGTTCGTGCTTGAGAACGTGCTGAATATTCTCTATCGTGCTCAATGTGCTCCGAAGGTAATATTCAGAACCTTTTTTTCGTGCGCGAACGTTCGCGAATGTTCTCGAAAGCACAATCAGAACGTTCCCTTGTTCACATCACTAATCACCCCCCTATTAAACAAAGGTACTATAGTCCAAAAAATACCATTTTAAAGTCACGTGATTTTTCTCTATCCTTGTTGAATACATCTCAAACAGCGGTGATAGTAAAATTGACAAAAAAATTGCTGTCTAATTATTGTTCATAATATTCTTACCTGAAATAGAATCCGTCACTGTCATCAATTAGTTTGTCAAAGTTATTTTCGAAAATAATACAACGAACAAACACAGCTAATAATTTTGACTATATTAACCTTTTTCCAACTCGAAAAGAAGCAAATAGAAAACGGGTACCCAGTTTAAGTTCAGAATGTATTACAACAGACAGCAGATGCGACAAAAGTGAGTCTCGCAACAATTGCAAGTATTAAAATTGTCCTCTGATTGGTCAATACTACTTCAGAAACGCGTTTGTAAAATGCTAGTGGGAACATATATTAAAATTCAATAGTAATTAACCACCAGTAGCTTTTTGTAGGTGATATCAACGACATAATCAATGGACATGCGTTTTTTGCCACCAGTATCACGTGACTTTAAAATGGTATTTGTCGGACTATACCCAAGATTGCTTCAAAAATGGGGGAAAACTTCCGGTAAGAAAAGAATTAATAATGGAATCCGCCAACACATCAACAGCCTAACTGAGATATCGTCCCATCCAGAAGATTTTCTATTTTTGATACTCAGTTTCTGAGCAATCGTACAGTAGTATGAATTAATATTATCTGCTTTCAAATTGGAAGCACATATTATGTAGGTACCTATATTTCTTTTTTTTTTCTTTGGCGTAGGTCGTTCTTTTTTTTTTGTTTATTGAATGCGGATGCCCAACCTCTCATTGTAATAAATCTTCCTTGCCTGTTTCATCGTCTTTCTGTAGATGCTCCATTATTTAAAGTAGGTCATAAAAAATATATTATCAATATCAAGAGCAAACTTTCTTAAGGAATGAAGACACCTAAATTTTCTAGAAGCAATTCTTAAACCTTTTGTGATACAAGGCTTTTTCTTTTTCGATTTTAACTTGACTAACATAAATGCATGGTTAAAAATCGTTCTTCAATCAAATCTAGAGCAAACTTGTGAAAAAACAATACAAATCAAAGCACAACACTGGACGGTGGAGTTGCAACAAATAAATATTTTCACATTTTAAGGGTAGGTCCTGGGTGTCCAAGTGAAATGTAGGTAGAGCAATCTTGCCCAAACAATAGGGATTCCGTAATTGGGTAGAAACGGCCAAAAATTGAGACGCACACAATAGAAAATGAGTATTTGATTATGATCATTAATGACATCAAATGAAATCAAATCAAAATAAGCTTTATTGTACAGAAAAATAATTTTCATTGACAAAGCAATTCATTACAATAAAAACTAAAACCACTACTACCACTATTACATTTAAAGGAACTTCAATAAAAAAATCCTAACAACATTAGGGTGCAATGTAAAAGTATCGTTACAAGATAAAAAACAGAAATTAACAAGAATACACCAACAAACTTACAATTATAAAATTTGATCATTAGTTAAAATACATCAACAAATAAAAAAAAAATATATATATAACACGCATCTACAGATTTCAATGCATCTGCAGTTAACCCTGGTAAAATTCATTAAGACCATAGTAAGCTCTGGCGACTAAAAACCTCCTCAAAGACACACGAAACTGGCAATAGTCGTTGATGTTTCGTAATTCCCGGGGTAAATGATTGAACATTTTTATGCTCTCATAAATAATCGAGTGTTTTGTCAATGCAAGTCTAGGAATAGGTAGGGGCAATTGATTGTGTCGAAGGCTATACGCTCTCTCTTGCACAAATCCAGAAAACTTTTTAAATATCAAACTGACAGACTCAAGAATAAAAATGCAAGGTACAGTCAATATTTCTTCTTGCTTAAATAAGGGTCTACATGTGTCTCTACAGCCCACACCACATAGATATCTTATGGCTCTCTTTTGCAGTATAAATACTGATTGATCTTTGCACGGAGTATCCCCAAAAAGCTATCCCATATCTTACATGTGCCTCAAATAATGAAAAGTATGTCTGTCTGGCTGTTCCTTTGTCAAGTTCATGAGAAATAGTTCTAATGACATAACCTAATGACGTTATGGTTTGTGTTTGTGTCAAATGTTTGTGTGCCTCTTGTCGGCCATATTTGTGTCACGTGTTTTGGATAGTCTAATAGTATAGTTATCGTCAAATAAAGATTTAATTATGTCATTTGTATGGTTAGTTCCTTTGTCAAGAAACCGCGTATGTTTCTCAACAAGGTACTCCTGGATGGTATCAACGCTCAGGTCTGTATGTAGGTCCGCATTGCGGACATACCACGGAGCGCCGACCATCCTGCGGATTACCTTGTTTTGAAACACCTGCAGTTTCTTTTTATTTTGACGTGTTGTCTGTGAAAAAACTGTTGCGCCGTAAAGTAATGTAGGTCGGATAACTTGTTTGTATAGTAATAGTTTGTTTTTTAGAGTTAGTTTACTGTCCTTGTTAAGTAATGGATAAAGCAATCCCACTAATCTGTTGCATTTATTTAGTTTATGATAAATGTGGGGGGTCCAAGAAAGTTTACTATCCAGTAATAGCCCTAGATATTTAATTTGATTTGTCCATGTAATTTCGGAATCGTCTAGTATGAGAATGTCAATATGCTTGTCACGTTTGTTGGAGATCAGGACGGCTTGGGTCTTATCGATGTTAATTTTAATTTTCCATAATTTTGCCCAGTCAATTATGGAGTCAAGATGATTTTGTAGTCGTCTATGTATGTGATGTAAGTACTTTTGTGAAGTGTAAATACAAGTGTCATCTGCGTAGATGGACATTTTAGTATGGGGATTAATGGGGATGTCAGCCGTGTAGAGATTATAGAGCAGTGGAGCCAGGACAGAACCTTGAGGAACTTCCGCTTCTATAAGGTCTGACATTTGAGAAAGTATCTTTGTTGAGTTTGACACGGAAACTTCTGGCTTTAAGGAAATTAATGAGCATTTTGAATTTTTTTTTCCTGGCATAACTATCGGGTTGGCAGGTTTGAACAGGTGAGTCGATACTAGTAATTCACACCCATCTGTTTAATGAATAAATCTTACATCAAAAAAAAAGTAATTTTATTGCGAACACGATGATATAGGGTTGTCGGCGAAAAATCTGGCCTGAATGACGGTTGGCGAGCTTTGAAAAGCGAAATTTTGGTGCGGATGGAAATATGCGACAGAGTGGTGTATGATTTATACATTAAACAGATGGGTGTAAATTACTAGTATCGACTCACCTGTTCAAACCTGTCAACCCAATAGTTATGCCAGGAAAAAAATAGACACCCCAACGTTTCTATATTCTTTAGGCCCTATACTTTCAATTAGTATGAAATTTGTTCGTTAAACAAATGAGTGCAATGCCTTTGACAATTATAATTTTTGAATTATTTATTAATAATAGTCTGGCCAGGAATTTTTTAGCCAACCCACACCTGATATATTTTTTAACATACTAACTTTGATATAAAATAATTTTCACCCAATAAACAGATGGGTGCAGATCCTTTCCTAATCGGATCTTCTACTATTAGGGGACCCCAGACGATACCTCAATCATCTTAGATATGAAATGACCAATTTTAATTACTTGCTTTTAATTTCGTTTTCACGCCTATTCTTGAAAACGGGCCTAATTTGAGCAGAGCATTTTTTTAAAGTATCAGGAAATTGTTTACTTTTGATAGAAAGATTGAAAATCTGTTGGAGCGGTTGAGCTATGAACTCAGCTTGCCCTTTATAAATAAGTTTTTTCTGTAACGGGAAAAAAGTAGACTTTTTGTACCTGTTGACAGGGGCAAAAATGTCACTTTTTCTCCCATGGGAAAAAAGCGATTTTTTTTCCCACGGAAAAAAAGTAACAGGTACTAGTCAATTTTTTTCCCGAGGGAAAAAAGTAGCAGGTACCAGTCAAATTTTTTTCTCAAAGTATAGATGGAAAATGTTGAGATTTTCCCATCACAGAAAAAAATAGTGTATTACACATGGGAAAAAAGTAAGATTTTAGCTAGTACTTTTTTCCCTTGTATAATAAATAACTATTTTTACTTAGGTTTAGCTGTTTTGTGTTTTCATTTACCTATATTAGTGAGTTTTTCATTTCACTCGAAATGCTGAGCAAAACTAAGCCATCACTATATCCTTAGAACTTGATCAGAATTAATGTCAACTTCCACATTTTTCTTAACAATAATTCTGAAGCTTGATACTTTTTCTTAGGTCATTAAGATAGATTTGCATGGCTGAATCAGCACATTTCCCTTGTGAAGCTTATTTTTTTCCTTTACTTTATGTATCAGACCCAGACTTATAGAGTACCAGTACCACATGATATATTGGGGTTTACCGAAAGAATTTTCAATTTGTCGCTTTGGAATAGCGCTATCTGAAAAACCATACATGTTTTTATAGAATGAATTGAGTTATATACATCTAATTGAAAATATTTCACTCCAATCACAGGTTTTCACAAGATTGTATAAGAGTAGAAAATCTTCTTTATTGAAACTTCGAATAATAATGCAGGATGAGAGTGGTCTTCTGCAACTTACTGGTTATATGAACCTAGAGATTTGCGGTACCTCCATGTTTGTTAAAATTAAATCCAGGCATCTGTCTAAAATTTTAATTATTTAATAATACAATACAATTATAGTATTATTAGGCTAATAATTATAATTATTGTTTAGGGCCTAGACAAAAATGACTTACAAACCGAAGCAGACAGGTCAGCCCAAAAATGCATTATAGGATCACTAAGCAAATTATTTCCCGGTGTAACCATTATAGGAGAAGAGGGCCCTCATAATGACCAACCAGAAGACATTCCATCTGATTGGATAGTGACTGAACAAGACAAAGCTGTTTTAGCGAGTGACTGTCCCAACGAATACTCAAAAATAAACCCTCAAGAAATAGTTGTTTGGGTGGACCCACTGGACGGCACTTCAGAATACGTTGAAGGTCTTCTCGATCACGTCACCGTGCTAATAGGATTGGCGGTAAAAGGAAAAACCGTTGGAGGTGTCGTGCATCAGCCTTTTTACAATTATGAGTTGGATAAGCAGGGGGTCGGTAGGACCCTTTGGGGTCTCGTCGGTTTGGGTGTAGGGGGTTTCGTTCCTCACCCACCACCGAGTGATAAATTTATTATTACTACCACCAGGTCGCATGCAGATGCGGTGGTTAATAAAACATTGGAAGCATTGAAAGCTGATGAAATTATACGGGTTGGAGGGGCAGGTCATAAGGTAAGAATTTTTACACTTTTTTCAATGTCGGTGAATTTGAATCTGAATTTTAAAAAAAATTCAACGGTCTGGAATAAGAAAATAAAGAAAAATAACAATTTCAATGTAGCCAATAGTTTCGGCAAAATCTTTTGATGTTTATCGTCTATCCAATCATCTTTTGATATTTTCTTGCTGGAAATTAATATCTTTTATAGTTTATTCCTTATTAGACACGAGTAGGGTTGCCAGATTGAAATATCTACAAATCGGGTATGCCAATCAAAAAGCTGTTAAAAAATCGGGACTTTGAATAAAAATCGGGACACTTTTTTTTAAAAAAGGATTAATTTAATATAAAAATATTACTGAACAATAAAATTTCTAATAAAATTCAAAAATATACCTACTGAGAAATGTTCCACAGAAAGGGAGAGAGGTCTATGTCAGCAGTGGACAATTTGGGGCTTAAATAATGAGAAAAGAGCTAAAATCTGGATAAAATGGAAAATATGAAACAATTTCAAACTAAATTATTCCCAAAAATTTTCACCTTTTATTAGTAAGAATCGAAATAGACAAAAAATTCCATTCTTTTACACCAACAGAAAAAGAATCGGGATATCTCCAGACTCCAGAGTCCAGAGAGTATGATATCTCACGAAATAGACTACTTAGTATGCATTAAACTCTAGTGCAAGCATGAAGTGCCTTGAATTTTTATTATTTTGTCAGTTGTGCCGAATTGCTTTGTGGATAAATCTTCTAACAGATCCACCACATACAGTGATTATCAATGACGATTATAGAGTTCTAAAAAATAAAATCAAACTCAGAGTTAACAAGGCAAAATTCAAAAATAGTGACTTGGGGCAGGTATTATAAAACTATTTTGTTAGAATAACTAGAAGTTAACTTCTGGAATGACGTTACTTCTCTTGTAATTCCAAGACAAGTTTTAGTTATCTGTTTAAATAGTTTTATAATACCCGCCCTTATAACTACCTACTTTTAATTTTTTATAACTTTCAAAAGAATTTCGTAAAATCGGGACATTTAGCGTCCCGACGTATAGTCCATCGGGACATGGGACAAAATCTCCAATATCGGGACTGTCCCGTTAAAATCGGGACGTCTGGCAATCCTAAACACGAGCCAAACACCGAATTTCAACTCATTTCGAGCCAGTGAAATAGACTCTTGTAAAAGAAAACGCATTTATTTTTACAGGTATTGATGTTGTTAGAAGGTAAAGCACACGCCTACGTTTTTGCAAGTAAAGGTTGCAAAAAATGGGATACGTGCGGACCTGAAGGCGTCCTAAAAGCTTTGGGTGGTACCCTAACCGATATCCATGGAAATGAGTACAACTATGCAAAGTAAATAAATATGCAATTTTAATTTTAGTAAAATTGATGCCTATTTTTTTTTTTCACAGGGACGTATCGTATCCAAATGCCCAAGGAATATTTGCCACATCCAAACACGTCAATCATAGTGAGCTTATATCTAAAATTCCAAAGGAATTAAAAGACAGATTTCCGTATTAGGAACAAAGAAGATGCATTTTTTTAAATGTAAAGAATACTCCAAGAAAGTAACAATTGTTATAGTTTGAGCATTATTTGCAGCTTGAAAAAATAAATAGACAATTTGAGGGCCAGGTTCTTCACGAACTGGTTGTTAAACTGTTGAACTAGAAATTAGGCTTTTAACATTTTTAGCTTCGTACCTTTTTCACTCCCTTTAACAGTACTGAGCAGCTGTGTCAGTCACTTAAAATATTTGTTATTTACATTCAGAAGGAATTTTTCTGTAGGTAATTGTTGAATTTGCCTATTCAGTGTAGCGCTACTTTGGTTTTCCGGTAAGAAAGCGGTCGGTTCGGGGTTTTCGGAAAACTCGGGCGCCACCCTTAGGATTAATGTGGTTAAGGGCCCACGTGCTCTAGGTAGCTTTTAAACAGTGGAGACGGAAAAACCAGAGGTCGATGCGCATTTTCCCCAAAATGAAACATATAATATCCAACAATGCCCTTTTATTAATGCCCAAATAAATAACAATAGAAAGGAAATGCAAGAAAACCTAATTAAGATGCGGATTTATTGAAATGAAATGCTTACGGAGGGAGAGAGTGTGTGAACGAGTATGAGAGAGAGACGGAGTGATATGCGTGACGGTGCGGACTGGTATAGCGCGGCGGTAAAGATGGCGGTGCGGTAGAAATGACGGTGCGGTAGAAATGACGGTGCGGTAAAAATGACGGTGCGGTAAACAATGACGGTGCGGTGAAAATGACGGTGCGGTAAACAATGACGGTGCGGTGAAACAGGCAAGAAGCTGTGTTTTGTGACCTATCGAAGGCTTTCGATTGTGTCGAACACGGAATTCTGCTGGCCAAGCTAGAGTGTTACGGCTTCAGGGGCGAGGCTCTTCAATGGTTTGCCTCTTACCTTGGTGGACGCAGGCAGTCTGTGGTTGTTGCCGGCGCCAGGTCTTTAGCACTTGAGGTGCGTCATGGGGTCCCTCAGGGATCGGTGTTGGGTCCTTTGTTGTTTCTGGTCTATGTCAATGATCTGTCCTTGGTAAACATTACTGGGAGATTCACTTTTTTTGCAGACGACACATCTATTGTATGGCACGACAGAGATACTGATCAATTGAGGTACCGGATATCGGAGGATCTGGCAATGGTCAAAAGCTGGTGCAGTGCAAATCTTCTCTCTTTTAACGTCGCCAAAACTAGCCTTGTTTGTTTTAGGGGTGATGACCGGGAAGTGAGGCTGGAGGGTGAGGATCTGCAGGCCAAATTAGAGAATAGGTTTTTGGGTGTTCATATTGACTCTGGCTTAAAATTTGAGTCCCATATCATGGGATTAAGCAGTAAGCTGTCCTCGGCATGTTTTGCCATAAGAACTACTAGATTTGAGCTTGGTTTGCTAGTAGCGCGGACAGTCTACTTTGCTCTTTTCGAAAGCCACCTACGCTATGGCATTCCATTCTGGGGTGTGGCTTCCCAGAATCTACTGAATATTATCTTTCTTCTGCAAAAAAAGGCTGTTCGTGCCATTGTTAATGTTGGTTACAGAGACTCATGCAGACCCCATTTTATTTCTCAAAAGATTCTTACTCTTACTGGTCTCTTCATTCTTGAAACTGCATCGATTATTTTTAAGAACCCAAGAAATGACCGTGATCCTGTTCGTGTACGCATCACTCGGCAAATTCATGACCTTCCATTGCCGGTTCCCTCAAGCGCACTGGTGCAAAGGTCAATTATTTATGAGGGAAGAAAAATATTCAACCACCTTCCCGTCGTGATCAGAAACGCGCGGGGCTTGAAGCATTTTAGAAAAATTCTCAAGACGTTTCTCATCGAAAAGGCCTACTACAGAACTGAGGAATATTTTAATGATGACACCATTTAGTGCTCTGGTGCTTTTTGTGGCTGATGGTGCTTGTATAATTTGCATATTTTTGTTTGTTTGTTTTTTTTTGTGTGTGTTCATTCGACGGTTTCTTACCTATTTATGACTTACCTATTTATTGTTATTCACCTAGAATTAGTCTGCTTTGTCCGCAAAAATGTTTACTTTTTTTTTGACAATAAAGCACATTTGATTTGATTTGATTTGCTCCGGAATTATGGTTTGTACGGTCCGACTCTTACCGGCGTCAGCAACTCGGATCAGCGCCCTATGGCGCAATAGGCAGAAAGCAGGTCCCCGTGGAATATGAAGTCAGAAGAGGTATGAGACAAAAAGTGCCACCCTGTACGTGTTCCAGCCCGCGGCCCCCTTTTGTCTTCCCATAGAGGAAACAAAACCACCCAGTACGTGTTCCCACCCGTGGTTTCGTTTCCTCTATCCACCAATCGAGACAGAAGAGTGCTACCCTGTACGTATTCCAGCCCGTAGCCCCTTAGGTCTTTCACTACAAGAACAGAGCTACCCAGTACGTGTTCCCACCCGTAGTTCCGTTCTTGCAGTGTGAGAGAGAGAATACCTGCCTTCTTACCCATACCTATTACTTACTGAGCCTTCATTTGGCGTCGCGACGGTGCTGACGTCGGCAAGCGGCGGCGGATAAAACTGACTTACATTGCTTGTAGTTGGCGGCTGGTGCTGGTCGGTAGGTCTGGTCGGAATCAGAGCTCGGAGAGAAGTGGCCGACTGCAGTGTGTGCTGCCGTATAAATAATCGGGAGGCGCCGCGTCACGTCGTCGTCAGACGGCAGCGCAGATACCAGCGGTGGGGAATCGAGTTTTTGAAACGCGGCGCGCACGTCGGTTTATACTGGAGAGTGCTTTGCGTTCGAGGTCACGCGTCGACACAACATATCGGTACGGAATTAATTTAATTAACGGAAACGCGGATAAAACAATAAAAATTTAGTAACCTACGTTACATCAGTAAACAAGCAGTGAAGCAAAATGGGCTATGCTTCAACTATATATTTGCAAAGCAATTTTAATTGATTCATGTTACATAAAATATAATACTTTATTTCCTCTAGTTCCCTTCTTGTTCTTGAATCTTCTACTGGTGTAAAGAATATACCGGGTGCCCACGAGATCACTTTCCGGCTGCCATTTTTTTATTTGTCCATTAATATCAACGAAACTTGGTAGGGTTGATATTCTATCCAAACGCCATTTTTATGCATTTATGACAAGTTTTCCTGACTTCCGGTTCCACCGGAAATGACCGGAACTTTTGATTTTTGAATGGCACACCCTGTATATTTTTTGTTTTTCGGATTCTACAGGTCGTTTTACGTCCTAATGCACAATTTTTGAATCGAGTTTTGCCCAAATTTTGTTTTGAAATTAAATTTTAATTTTTTAACTAGAGTGCCATGATCTTCCTAAAATGACTCTACATACTTTACTTAAGTTCAGAAAAATACAAACTCAATTTTATCTTTGTAAACTTTTTTGATAGAGTGCTGTAAACTCCATTATTTTGGTATTTTTGCCCTAGCTCAAAAACTAGAATTGAAACATATCACTTTCATAACATTACTAAATACAGTTTTTTAAAGCGAATCCAACGATATAATACACTACGATATTTTCCTTTATATCGTTCAAATATTTCTGTTTTATTATGTTAGTTAAAGGACCCCGCACAAATCTTATGTAAATCCGGTCCCAGTAAAAACGGCTGAATTTTTTATATGTTGTAGTTTATGACCTTCTGATCAATTGCTCTCAAGGCCGCAAAAAAATTTATCGAGCCGTTTTCGAGGTATGAGCTATCAAAGTTGGGATTTAATGATATTATAGTAAATGGCAAATAAATGTCAAAAACCATTTTTCCATATTTTGTAACGTACTTTTTCACCAATATTAAGCAAAACACAATATAACCTCGATATTCTAACACTTTGCTGTTCCATAACAAACAAAAAAAAAAGGATCTACAGTGTCTCTCGGAAGAAAGTGACAGAAAAATAAATACATACCTATATTCTTTTTTCAAAGTTTAAAAAACTGACCAGGCGTATTTTTGAGGTGTATTTTTGAGGTCCCAATAAGTTTTTTTTTTTTTTTTTAAATATGAGCCACACGATTTGTTACCAAAATACAGGGTGCTAAAAGAATTTGAATTAAAAAAATTAAAAAAAAGAAATTAAATCATTTTTTATCATTGGGAAATGTTCATGTTCCTGCGTATATGGGGATCATTCGAAGTTTTTGTTCAAGGTCAAAAGACGGCGGTGTCGCCAGGGGCGTGCGGTGGAATTAGAAGTACAAGGCGAAGCGTGTCGCAGTGGGCGCAGTGCGTTATATAATGGGACAAAAATCATAGCGTTTAGCGTTTGTTCTATTGGATGGGGATTTCAATAAAATAATAGATATTTACGATACAAGTGAGTTAACCGGATACTTAAGAGACGCGTGTGAATTAGTCTGGAAGTTGCACAACGAGTGCTTAGCACGAGTTGTGTATCTCACTCACTGACGTAGATAAATATATATTATGTGTTAAATAGGTTCCATATAATGGTGTTATCATTTCATTCATTTCCAATGACTCCGGTGATTGCAAGAATTGCAAAATCTGTGAATGAGAGTCGGGTTTAAAAGTTCTATTGAATTTTTGGATCTTTTTTATTTAGTAAGTGAAACTCAATCCAACTAAGAAAAAGCCATCGCCTAGTCATCTTCTGTCTCACTCTGCGAAACGACTAGGAATATGTTAAAGTGAGACAGACCGATGACCAATCGATGACGCGTGTGGCTTTTTTCTTTGGACTCAATATACCTGCTGTTATTAGTTTTAGATAGTGAGTCAAATAATTATAGTAATGAACCGTTTTGGAGACAGAATTCATATGATGTACTTTCTGTGCAATACAATAGGTCGAGTAAAAAACCATGAAAAGAATTGGTGGTGAAAACAATGCTGTCAAACGTCAAATAGCCCTGACTAGACGAGAAGCTACTGGAAGGTACCTCATACAAGTATCGGAACCGACCAGGTTATGCATAAATTGTTTTATTGTTAACGAAATTCAGCTTATTAAGACGATCCAACTTGTTTGA